ATTATAGATCATACAAAAACCAATATGTAGTTGTGTTCACTGATGTATCATATATATGTGCCTGCATGCTACTTTAAATCGCGCTTACATTTTTTGAATTTTTAAAAAAGAGAGCAAACCTTTAAAATTTCATGTCAGTATGGTTTCAAGAAGATGGTTTAAAGAAGAGTTGCTAGAAGAAAAGGATAAATATATATTTAGTGGCAATTGTGTTAGAACTCGCTCATGAAAAACCAAAACCATTCGTAGAAACATTTGGTAAAGGTTCAAGGAAATAAACCCACCAGAAGTTATAATATAAAAGATAAAAAAAAAAGAATCTGGCAATAGCTTTTTGATAAATTTAGGAAGATTGCAAAATTTGCAAACAAAGATAAAAAGAAATATCAATTATTAGATAAAGCACTTGGAGAAGTCTATTTAAAATCAACAGAAATGTGATGAAAAATCATTGAAAGCAAAACTAAAAGATATGTTATATAGTAAAAAAATTCACCAAAAATTAAAAATATGAAGGCATTGACACTAATAAATAAATAAATTTTATTTATTTTATGAACCTAACATAAGGTCTTAAATTCAATGAAAAATTAGTTAATCGAGATGGTATTCATAAAACTTAGTTTTTAAAAAATATAACAAGGCTGTATTACAACAAGCTATCATATCCATTTATCAATTTAAAAAATATATCTTATTTATTATTTTGTTAAGATAAATGTATTCAATCAGTAAAGTAGCCATTTATCGTATTCCAATTAGCATTAAAATCGAAATAAGGCGATGATGAAGCTGCACAATTGTTGATAGGAAAATTATCTATTTGATTTTGTTGTATTTCCAGTTGTTGAGGCATAAAATGAGGTAAGCTTGTATTATCATTTGTGTTAAAAAAAGTAGAATGTGGATGAGGTGATGGTGATGGAACTGCACAATCGTTGTTATGAAAATTATCTATTTGATTTTGTTGTAGTTCCGGTTGTTGAGACATAAAATGAGACAAGCTTGCATTATCACTTGTGCAAAAAGAAGTAAAATGTGGATAAGGTGATGGTAATGAAACTGCACAATCGTTATTATGAAAATTATCTTTTTGATTTTGTTGTGGTTCTAGTTGTTGAAGCACAAAATGAGGAAAGTTTATATTATCATTTGTGCAAAAAAAAGTAGAATGTGGATGAAGTAATGATGATAAAGTTGCACAATCGTTATTATTTTTTTCACAATAACTAACTTTTTGATTTTGTTGTGGCTCTAGTTGTTGAAGCACAAGATGAGGAAAGCTTGTATTATTACTTGTGCAAAAAAAAGTAGGATGTGGATGAGTTGATGATGAATAAGCTACACAATCGTCATTATCTTTTTGTTTTTGTTGCAGTTCTAGTTGTTGATATGACGAACTCGTATTATTATTTGTGTAGTGACAAGTAGAAGGAAAAGAAAAAGGATTTGGATAGGGTGATGATGAAACTGCAGAATCATTATTATTGTCTATTTGTTTTTGTTGTGGCCCTGGTTGTTGAGGAATAAAAATACGATTTTTTCGATTTTCATATGTTATTTTATGTTTTTGAAAAGCTACTTTTGCTAATACTTTAAAATAAACTTTCACTTCCTTGAGTTCATTCTTCCAGGAAACACTGGCTTCCTTTGAAAGAATTCTCCCGTCCTTTTTATTCCTAGGAGATTTATGTTTTGCAATATAATTTTTACGGTATAGGAAAAAAGAGTTTGGAGATTTTGGGATACTTATAGAATTAACATTATTTGGATTAGGTAAAATAAAGTCACTGATTTGTGAATAGACTTTACAAGGAGGATTGAAAAAAAAATGAGCCTGATTTTTGTTAAGTCGTGCTTTATCAACACATGACTTTGTTTCAGGATCCATGCGTGTTGCGTAAAATATATTATATTAAATAAAGATTTTTCGTTTGATGATTTAAAACTTGCGTATTTAGGATTTTATTAAGTGTTAATAGAAACAAACTTTTCGTAAGGAAAAAAAAACATATGATTGTAAATTATTGCAAAGAAAATTTTTTTTTGAAGAAAAAAACCAAGTTTGGGGTAAACAGAAAATTCGTTATAATAGCTTAAAAGATGCTGTTAAAAATTTTTGATGGAATTATTTATATTTATACAAAAGTTCCCGCTTATATAACTGATTTATCAGGGAAAAGATATCTATCATGTTTTGTTACCATTAAATTAATAATTGACGCAGGAGAAAGAAAAGGGCCAAATAAAAAAGGCGAATGTTGTAGAAATAATCATTATGAATTAATTGGTAGAAGTTCAGAAAATTACTCATCATTTGAAAAAGATGATTTTGGGCCTCGATCACAAAAAACATTCCACTGGTGCTGATCCATTTATTTTAACGAGTACAATGCACTTTATCTTTAATTTAATATTGAATAAAGGTTTTCTAAAAAAAGTAAACAACGCTTATGCGTCATAACAATATTATCATCAATAAAGCCTTTTTGAGCATGATGGTTGGTTGATTTATTAAGAAATGTGTAATAATTTTCCATTGAGGAATTGGAGTGAAAACATGAATTTTCGGTTTCGTAGTTTTTTTTTCTACCATTCTACTGATTCGTTTTATTGATTTACAACAGAAATAAGGTAAATATCGTATTAGTCATTGAATAGCAAATTACTGAAATCAAATTAAATAATAAGCAGCAATAAAAAACTTGTTGTACAATATTACTTATGACAATGATTGATAAGGATAAAAAAAAATTTTATATCGATTCCAAGTGATTGGTGAACGTGCTATACAAACCCTATTGCGATTAATAAACTGTTGTTTTTTTTCCTAATTATCCATAAATTTGTCTTGTCATTATTTACTTGATCACAATTTTATGCGGTATAACAAGATAACACTAATTCGCAATTGTTATATATTATTCCAATGAATGGTAATTTACTGTTTTGGGTCAAAATAATATCGACGTGAATATAGAAATAATAAATGTTAAAAGGAAAAAATGTATGTATTATAGACAAAATTAAAAAAACCAAATTCATAATAGCAGTGACTTGAAATATAGAGTTTAGGACATATTGATTAATGCTCAATGAGTATTATTAGTTGGGTGCGCTTACCTTACAATCTATACTAGTAGTGTTGGTCGTAAAAACTGTCAAAGTAAAACAAATTTAAAAAGTTTGTATGTACCCAATTTAAATTTTCTAAAAAAGTAAAACAAATTTAAAAAGTTTGTATCTACCCCAATTTAAATTTTCTAAAAAAGTAAAAAAATGGTTACACTAAAATTTACAATGCTAATATAGAATTTTACCTACGCTAACTCGTCATTAATGCAGGAGCTAAAAATAGAAGTATTTAATGAAAAGCAAGTTGTCTGCTATTTCACTCATTTTACAATAAAGGTAATGATAATGATGGTGACAATAACAATAACAATAACAATAACATACTGCCATTCGGATTCGATTATTTGTTATTTCGAATTGTTCAATGACTATAATAGTGATAAAATAAACGAAAGGTGACGACAAATAGATATTAAATTAAACTAAAAAAAGTAAAATCTAGATTTAAAATCAACACAGTCGTATAATCTATTTATATGTCTTTTAATATTTATCATTCATTAAACGTGAAATTTTAACCAATATTCTTTTTCCAAATTTATTATTCTATTCGTCCATAAACAATAACAACAATTACAAACGATTGATTCATGCTGTTAAAAAATCAATATTTATTCGTAAAGCTCCGTATGCAAATAGAAAGAAAGAAAAAAGATTTGTTAATCTCTGTGTGAGTATTATCATTATTGTGAAATCAGGGTATATATATTATATTAAACATTTAATGAATGAATTAATCAATCAACACCTTATTATTTAAAGAATTTAAAATTTAAAATTTTAATTATTATTATCGGTATGCATATGATTTACAAACATAGTCGATCATATATATAAATTTTTCATCATTAATAAGGATTTTTTTAGGTTTATTATTATTTTTTTGGTGCCACAAAAAATTTTTTTGACATTTTTAGCACTTTCTTTACTATTATTATTATTATTACTTTTCTCTCAGATCTCAATGCGAATTTCAGCTAAGTAATAATATTTTAACGGCTGTACTATTTAGAATTATAAATTTAGATATAACACTAAACAAAAATCGAAATAACTTTTAAACTATATGTCATGGTTAGGATTTGCATTTTGATGCTCTTTAAGCGTACAGAGCTTTTTACAATTTTATTTGCATAAAATTTTAATTTATACATAACTTTCCTTTTTTCTTTTAGCTTAAAATAAGTGATATAATTTATATTAAAATTAAAAAAACTCTCTATAGGGGCAATTTCTCTACCCTTCTAAGATATTTTAAACTTAATTTGGAATGTGTATCTTTGTTCTTTAAAGAGTTATTTTCGTTCAAAGTTTACTATTAAAAAAAAGATCGACGAAAAGTCCTTCTTAATAAAAATTTATATATGATATTGCATGTACTGTACTACCACAATGAAGTGGAAAATTCGATTTTTTTTTTTTGAATTAAATTTATTATGACCATTATGACTATTATATTTGTTGTCCAATCAATCTCTTGTCAGTTCTCAAAAATTACGCTTACAGACCTAAAAAGATAAAATAAGAGGGTAATGGCAATCAATAAATTGCTTGTGAAAAAGAATTGGAATTTTTTCAAAATGTTATACTAAATAATGCAGCAAAAAAATAAAATTTGTTAAATTGAAATATTTTGCGAAAACTCAGAGATATATGTATTTTTTTTTGATAGTTTTGTTTGTTAATAATGTGATTTATATATATATAAATTTCAATAATTATTTCTATGTCCAATCTTAAAATAAAAGTGTGATTAGTACAAAACATGTGTTGCATTATATATGATCGTTTATACAAGAATCAGGGGATCATAGTCGTGCTACATATAATGTTATATGAAAGGAAATTTTATTGCATTTGTTTACATGCCATACCCATTGTTACAACTTTTTAGTAAAAAGGCCAAGACAAAAAAGCCTCATACAACTCCGAAAGAAAGAGTCCAAATTCTTCTTTCTCTTCAAAATGGACATACTACAAGGCAAATAGCAAAGTCAACAAATATTAGCCCCTCAACAGTTTCTCGTATTAATAAAAGATGGTGTGAACAACACTCCCTCAAAGTTGCACCAAAACCAGGTCGACCATCTACTATAAATGAAACAATAAAAAATAAAATTGTCAATCTCATCACTTCGCGAAGGTGCTCATCTGCTCCAGAGGCCCAAAAATGTATAGAAGAAAAAGAAAATATTAGTATTTCGTCACCTACTATTCGTCGTATACTTCATGCAAATGGTTTAGTATCAAGAATTAAAAGAAAAAAACCCTACCTCAGCAGTAAACACCGAAAGCGTCGGTTAGAATTTGCAAAAGAACATGAACATTGGACTATTGAAGACTGGTCAAAGATTATATGGTCCGATGAGTCTAAGTTTAAGGTTTTTGGATCAGATGGGAAGCAATATTATTGGAAACGTCCAGAGGAACCATTAAACCATTTCCATGTTAAACCTACAGTGAAGTTTGGGGGCGGGTCGGTGATGATATGGGGCTGTTTTACATCTCGGGGTGTTGGTGGCTTTTGTAGGATTGATGGCATTATGGATGCTAAATTGTATCAACAGATACTTCATGAAGATCTTATGAATACTATCAAAGATCATGGATTTATTGTCAAAGAGGTCATATTTCAACAGGATGGAGACCCTAAGCATACGGCGAATTCAACAAAACGATGGCTCAAAAATAATAAAATAAAGATCTTGGATTGGCCTCCCCAATCCCCGGACCTTAATCCCATAGAGCATCTATGGAATGAGGTTGATCGTCGTCTCAGGCATCTCCCTGGGCAAATTTCCGGCAAAGAGGATTTATGGAATAAGATACAACAGGTTTGGTTTGAAATTGGTGTTGAAACTTGTACCAACCTAATCCATTCTATGCCAGAACGAATCCATGATGTTATCAAGGCACGAGGTGGTTATACAAGGTGGTAGAGGTTAAATTCTATAACGTTGTTATTTTTATTTTATTTTATATATTTGGATTAGCTAAAATTTATATATTATGTAAGCTGTGTTAAAAAAGAAAATAAATAATGCAACACCACTTATTGAATAAATGCATCGTTTGAAAAATAATTGATTTATGGATCCACCCTTAAATTTCAATATATAAAAACAACGTTATTAACAAACGAAACTATCATAAAAAAAAGAAGCATGTCTTTGAATTTTCACAAAATATTTCGATTTAATGAATTTTATTTTTCTGTTGCATTATTTATGATCGCCACTGTATATGTGTATTTTTTCCCCTTGTAGCAAAATTTAAATTCAACAAATTTCTAATAATTGATATTGAAAAAATCCTATTTTGACTGTTTGGAAATTTTTGCAACACAATGAATATCTTAATATCTTCACAAACATCATTAACATTACAAGAATTAAAAATATAAAGGACGTTAAATATTAATAAATTAATAAAGATAAATTTTATTTATTTTATGGTAAAATCAATTAACCTAACATAGGGTTTTAAATTCAATGCAAAATTAGAACCTAATTTGGTATTCATAAAACTTAGTTTTTAAAAAATGCCATTATATATTATTATAATGTTGGAATTAAAAAATATTGCTTATTCGCTATTGCTATTTTGCATTTCTTTCATATTTTCATATATATCTTGTGACAAAATCCAATAAATCTAAACAATCTCTATATAATTGTACATCTGTTTGTTCAGTTTGTATGTATTGTTGAAAACCTTCTAGAGGATTTTTATCATTTAAATTGTTGAGTTGGGTGGATTGGAGTAGAGCATTAGTCTTGTTGATGATGTTGTTATCATAATTAATAGGAAGAATATAATCGGATGAAATAGAACATGGAAGAAAAGAAGCGAAAGATGATGGATTTGGATTATAATCTTTGCAACAAGAAGAAGAATGGTACGGATAAGGTGGCGTTGAAAACTTACAATTGTTGTTATTATTATCAACTTCAATCTTTTGTAGCAGTTCTGGTTGTTGATCAATAAAAGTATATTCTTTTGGTAGTTGGTTACCAGTAGTGCTGTCTTTTTTACCATAAATCAATTTATGTTTTTCACGAGCCAGTTTTGCTAATCTTTTAAAGTAACTTTTTACTTCGTCTGGTGCATTTTTCCAGGAAATGCTGGCCTCCTTTGAAAGAACCTTCCAATCTTTATTGCTACCAGAAGATTTATGTTTTGCAGCATAATTTTTACGATATAAGATAAAAGCGTTTTGAGGTTTGGGGATGCCTAAATGATTGATATTATTAAGATCAGGAGAAATAAATACTGTAATTTGTGAATATAGTTTACAAGGAGGATTGGAAAGAAGACGAATCTCATCGTCAAGTTGTACTTCATTAATAATATATGAGAATATATTGGTATTCATATGTGTTAATTATTGAAAAATGTTTTTATTATTATTATTAAATATTAAAAATTTTTATCGAGTTTTTATAACTTGCTCTATTACTATTAATCGAATTAATTATTCGACAAAAGAAAAAAAACCCAATATTGAAAAAGGATTTTTAAGAAAAAAAAAGTGTTTATATACGTATTTTAATAGTTATCAAAATGGTAATAAAAACAACAAAAAAAAAGAAACATTCGTAAAGAAAATATTAATCTAGCAATTTAATTGGTTACAAAATATCGGTTTTTTTACAATTCATTTCAAAAAATTCGCATCCACAACATATTTTGGTAGGGTAGGACTGTGGCCTTGATTTTATGAGTTTGTGGATATATCTAAAAGTTCTAAGATTTTTTTACCACATTTTGATCGTCAAAAGTCCTTATCTATCATAAAAACTTTTGCAATGTAACGCATAAATAAGTAAATATTTACATTATTATTATTATTTGAATTTGTAATTTTCCTTTCGTACTTTCATATTATGATTGATAAATGCAATAAAATAAAAAGAACCAAACCAATAATGCAATGAGATAAAATAAATAAAGATGATGATAATGATGATGATGATAATGATGATGATGATGATGATGATGATGATGATGATGACGATGACGATGATGATGATGATGATGACGATGATGATGATGATGATGATGATGATTGTGATTATATGAAAGAAGATAATAATAATTTGAATAACAATGAAAATCAAAATCAAACCGAAAATATTTATTTCGTAATAATATGTTTTACAATAACAATAATACAACAATAAAAAACGATTGTTTATTATTATGCTACGATTATTGTGAATACTAATCAGTCAGTGTATATGAAGAAATGAGCGAGTGGACGAATTGTACCGTCTTTAAATTTTAAATTTAACTGTTATGAATTGTACTACACTTTTAATTGGCAAAATGACAAGATCAACAGATTAATTAGTCATTGAAAAAACTTCTATTATGACTGGACCGGAAAACTATTAAATATTACCGCCAACGCCATGATTCAAAAGTACTTTAAAAAGTAGTGGAGGTGACTGCAACACGATAATAGTGAATTAAATCTAAATCTAAAAAAAGGAAACTCGACTGAAAAAAATGTAATAGGGATATAGGGTTTCTATCTGTAACACGAATTCATCTCAATATTAATATTATTCAAATTGAGAATTTATTCAAATTGAAAATTTTATTCAAATTGAGAATTTATTCGAATTGAAAATTTTATTCAACCTTTAAAAAATGACACTCCAGAATATTTCCATTATATCTCCGTGATTATGTTTATCGCTCTGTACATGTCCAGTTTATTTCATAAAACAGCAACCAGTTGAGTAAGCAATTCGGATTTTTTCCATGATATCATTTATATAAATATAGGGACATTTGTGAATGTGTAATTAAAATGAATGTGAGAATAGGATTTTATAGTTCTGTAATATTATTAAACTCGCAAATAAAAATGGATATTTTTTTTACAAAACATTTTATTTGTTATTATTATTAGTATGTTTTAGTCATAATAATACTAATACAGAAAATACTATAAAGGACTTTTTTCAAAATTTACTAATGAATTTACCCAAAATCTTATTGCCAATTGCGAGGATCCCTAACATAGATAGACTAACTCATCAACAGCACACAGATCCATACAGTGAGATCATCCATCCAATCTTTCAAAATTTTACATGTTGATTTACCCCCAAAAAAAAGTAACCTATTTATGTAATATCTGGAGCCCTTATTATGATAATAATTAATTAACTAGTCGCATAGAAAGTTGTAAAACATTATTATAATCGAATGTCTTCACACCCTCTTTTGATATCCTTGCTGTGTAGAAACCATCACCAAATTTGATATATAACTTCTTTATCATATGTATCTGCTTTAGGAAAATTTTTAAAACAGGTTATTAATAAGATCTAAAATAATCTTACCCTCAAAGTCAAATGTAAATGGTTATATTGTTATGAATATTTATACAGTTTTGTTCACTTAGGTGTGTCTTTTTATAGTCAAATAATTTATTTTAAAATTAAATATATTTTATTCCTACATAAATAATAACGTTTAAAAATAATTAGATAATATGGACAAGCAACAATAATATACCAATTATTAAAAAAAGTAGAAAGAAATTATTAAAATGCGACAACGAATTGTGATTTAAAATCAATATTAAATAACATTACCACACATTAACATATTAACTATAAAAAAGTTTTGGATATGATGTGCAATAAAATTCGGGTTTCTTTTGAATCTAAGATCACTCAATTCGATCAAGTACTTAGCAAACTATTGCTTTTTTTTTGAATTTTAAATATTTACATGGCATTTTCAAATAAGAATCATAATCAAAACCATCTATTATACAACTAGATAAAACAATTATCAAGTATAGTTTACAAAACTTGCTTTCCAAGCTTTATAGGCCTCGTCTAGTGTTGGTTAATTGGTTTTAGAGAGATTCACAAGTATACTAAAGACAGCAATAGTAATATTTTTTTTTCAATATTTACTTTTGTATCTATTTTATTATTATTAATTAATTTTTTTATATATATTTAGGAATGTAATAATCAAATTAAAAGGTATTTACATGATTTCTTTTTCTAAAGGTTGATGATTAAACGGAATCAGAAAGAATTATTACGCAACCATATTATTATTAATTGCTTTTTTCAGATCTGGTGGTGTACGATTAGAAAGAATTGTTATTATTATATGTGACTACTATTATTTTTCCCATTGTTTTAAATCATTAATTTAATTTTTTCTATATATTTTAGAAAGGGAACACGCAGTGAGATTATTTTCAAGTCAATTACCAATTTTGTCCAGAAATATGGAAAACTTCAAACAGAACATGAACTGGTGTCCATAACCTTTCAAAAATTTACCATTTTATCATGTTACTAACATTGGTTTTCTTTAGATAGATCGAAATGCTTATAATCAAATACAACCATTATTGTTAATATTATTATTTTCAGTGTGAATTACAACTTCTCCAAGTTCAATACATTAATTAGTGAAAAAGGACTACTGGCATTAGGCACATTGTTTTTCTTATTACTATTAGATTGACTAATTTTATTTATAATTTCTTGAACTGATGTAGTAGGCTTAGTAGTGATATTATGATTAGTGTTAACTTTAGTAAATTCATTCAGCACACTTTTGAATTTTTTATTGATGAATTTCTCAAAGGGTATTTTCTTTTTTCTGGTCGTAATATTTTTAGCAAAAGAAAAAAGTTAAAAAAATAAAAATAAAAGAGTATTCCTGTAATCCCTGTAATCCCTGCTCCAAAAACTTTCTATATAACAAGCACAAAAAAACATATAAATTGTAATTACATTATGATAGCAATAATATTAATTTGGTTGATTTGAACGAATCAATGATGAAGAAAAAACACAAACAGATATTAACATTACAAAAGATAGTATTGATGGACTTTCAACAATGTATCTGCTGAATTCACAACCAATGATGTATCTGTTGACAATACTTTTAACAAAAAATTTGATAACACACCAAAATATTCTTATGATTTTCTTGATAATTTTCCTGGCATCTACATTAATGAGAATGTGGAAGAAGAAAATTGATCAACTTTTCCAAGTGACTAATACAAAGAATTCATGATTTTGATAACAAAAATATAATATTTTGCATTTATTAGGCAATGAAATTTTGGAGTTGATTTAAAATTTTTTTGATTTTTCCAATTCCAATTAAATCTGGAAAAGAATCTTTAGATAAATGAAAGATCCAGTTTTAAATTAAATTATTAGAATATAATGGTGTGTAGAATAATTTTTATATTTTAAAGCAATTATAGATGCAGTATCAGAAATATTTTTCTAACAAAGAAATTTTTTATCAGCAACAATAATAAGGGATGCTATAGGGAACTTTATAATAGCAATTGGTGGAAAAAGATTGTAAGATATTCACTAAACTACGTTTTGATCTAATAATAATAATAATAATAATAATAACATACCAAAATCTTTCGCAATATTTAATCCTATATAAAAAACGTAGGTCAAAATAAAGTTTTAAAAGAATATAGTAACTAGATCTGTAATTTTATAATAAAAAAATACAAATACAGAGTCATATTAGTTATTTGTAAAGTTTGATTGAATAAACAGTGATGTTAGCCGGTTAAAAAAATTTCTCTTGACATTCATTTTTTACGTCTGGAATTTTAGTGCAAAATTCAATGGCATAGACATTTAGTTGAGATGTGTTCACCTACATTACTTAGAATGACAAAAAAATCACACATTTGCTCAAAAGCAAAGTACAACACATCATAGCAGGATAAAAGTCATAGAGTTTCTATTCGTAATACAAATTCCTATTTTAATTCGAATTATTATTATTCGTTTTATTGCAATTCGTTCTATTCGAATTATTTGTTAAATTCGAATTATTCATTTTATTCGTTTGTTCGAATAAAACTTTCAATGCAATTCGAATATTCAAATTCATAACAAATAAAACAAATAATTTGTACCATTAAAGACGAGATATTATAATAGCAATAGCAAATAATAGTAATAATAATACCAGCAAACCTAGTACTATCTGAAAATGATTTTCATCAACTGGAGTTTATTAAGTTCTTAGCCGGCTAAGGTTTTTCTATCGACTAACATCACTATGAATAAACCCATAAAGTACTGCTTTTTTATGACTTACTACAAAAGGCACAAATATTTGTAAATAATACCAAAGAAGTTTAAATTCTATGAATTTTTGAAGTTTTATTATTATTATTGAAATAAAATGATAAGCTTCCATGGTCTACTTATATGTGAGTCATCTGAACAAAGCTGGCCTTTTTTTTTTAATGTTATTATACTAATTTGTAGCCGATCGCTATTATTAGAATTAATAATACTATTTGTTTCTTGCGATCAATAGCCAATGCCTATTTTATATATATTAATACCATTATTAATATTCCTCTTTCACTATTCCTAACTTCATCCATTCATCAACAATATCACAAAACGATTGATTCATGCTGTTGATTTATTCACGTGCTAAAAAGCTCCATATGCAAAGAAAAAAAAGAGTTTTTCACATTTTAATCTCATTGTTAATCTCTGAACTTTAAATTTATGATCGTTGTAAATTACCGTAAAGTTCCAAAAATAGCATTCGTGACAAATAACAATTTTCTATAAAATCGTGACGATTGATATAACAAACCATACTAAAAAAAAATGTCACTAGATACTATCTTTTGGAACTTTACGGTATCAATCAGGGTGTGAATGGGGTTAAATTTTGCTTAGTAAGTGTGTATACCATAAAGATTATAGCTGGTCTGATAAATTTTTAGCCAAATAATAATTTCTTTTGATTTTCAAAAAAGTTTGTTTATAATATTTTTTTTCTTTTAGTTCTAAAAAACAAAACAACGCTCACTACTCCCTACTTTTCTTTTTTTCTTTTTCCTAAATTAATATTTTACAATATTGCTATTATTAATTCCACACATTCACATCGAAATTATTTTAAGCATACTGTGTAATGAATGATGTATAATCGTTATTTCTCGGTTCCGTTATACATATTTGAAATTGTTCTGATTATGAGATTCCAAACTTCCATAGTAATTCCTCTCTATCACGTATTATAGTTAGTGTTTACTTGGGTAAAAACAATTTAATACTAGTTGCAGTTGATTTTTCAAATGTACCATCACAAGCAGCCTCAATATAGAGGAATTGCATAAAGAAGTATCTTATAAAGAATTATTATCTTTTAAATTTTTTTTCTTCAAAAAGGTTACAATAACCATTTTTGAAAAACAGCAAATTTGACTATAAAATTTTAGGGCACAAAAAAAAATTAGGGGAGGTTATTAATATAAATAGAAATCTTGTTTGGAAATTAGTTGTCTCTTCGCTAAACTTTAATAAACATAATAATAAAGGTACATCCATATGGAAGCTTACAACATTTTCGTTGCTATAAATAAACCAATTGGTTACACAGTGGAATGATCAACTGACCGATTTATATAAATACATTATTAAATTTTTCTTTCTTTTTAAATAATTAATATTAATAATAATCATAAATATCGCAAGTTTTAACAAAGAAAAATTTATTATAAAAGCAATAATATACTTTACGCAGCACATATGAATTATGACCTTCATTTTAATCCTTCACAATTCACAGAATTTATTTCACCTAGTCCTAATAATCTCGACTTTAGAACAATCCCGAAACCTCAAAATGCTTTTATTCTATACCGTAAAAATTATGCTGCAAAACATAAATCTACTGGGCGTAATAAGGATTGGAAAATTCTTTCAAAGGAAGCCGGTGATGCCTGGAATAATGAATCGAACGAAGTAAAAAATTATTACAAAAGGTTAACAAAACTGGCTCGTGAAAAACATAAATTAATTTATGATAAAAAAGGCAGAGGTTCAGATAATCGACTACCAAAAGAATATATTTTTATTGTTGAACAACCAGAACTGCTACAAAAAATAGAAGATAATAATAATAATAACGACCGTAAGATTCTGACGCCACCTTATCCGTGCCACCCACCACCACCACCACCCCTTTCTCCTCCTCCTCCTCCCTCACCACCACCACCACCACCGCCACCTCTTTCTCCTTCTCCTTCTTCTTGCACAGATGATAATCCAAACTCGTCATTTTCCACTTCTTTTTTTCCATATTTTGTTTCATCCGATTACAATACTCCTTCTATTGATTATGACAACATCATCAATAAGACGAATGATCTACTCCAATCCGCCCAATTTAACTTTATTACTAATTTAAATGATGATGACAATCCATTGGAAGGATTTCAGCAATATTTACAAACTGAACAAACAGATGCACAATTAAATGAGACTTGCTGTAATTTATTGGGTTTTTGTCACAAATTATGACATAATACAAAAAAGCAATAGCAAATAAGCAATACTTTGATTTCAACATATAATAATTTATAATGACAATCTTGTTATAATACATTTTTTTAAGTAATAAGTTTTATTAATGTACTATTGAATTTATGATCCTATGTTACTTTAATTAATTTTATCATAAAATAAATAAAATTTATCTTTATTAATTTATTAATATTTAATGATTCGTATTTTAATTTTGGGTTTGGTGATAATGTTAATGATGACAAAGATATTCTTGGTAAAATTTTCTAATCAATCAAAGTAATTTTTTTAAATTATGTGACCAAATGTTGAATTTAAGTTTTGATATATCTTTTTCCACAAATTATTTACTTTACGTTTCACAACAGCATCAAGTAATATTACATTCTGACCTAAAAATATAAATCATTTAGAGGAGGAAGAATGATTTCTGAGAACAATGACGAATTTGGTTGTACTACAAAGGTAATAATCATAATACGTTAATTCTGGATTAATATCTGATTGCATGCATCTTAATGACAAAAATGGAAATTTTTTCAATTTTTTGTTCAAAAAAGATTTTTCGGTAATAAACGCCAATTTTCCAATTAAAGGATGATTAAATTTTAAGAGTTTCATGTTTTATTTATAACGTTGTTTATTGTTTTAAAGTTTCCATTCAAATAAAGGTTATTATTTAAAGTATTTGTAATTAATTATTGCTATAATAAATAAAGTCTAAAGTTGGTGTGACTTATTTACCCATTCATTGATCGGTTGATTTATTTATTCATTCATAGAGAAAGATAATATAAATGCTTTAATAATGATATATAGGTTCTCTAAGAAAAACTGGTTACGAACTTGATAAAAATTCGGATTCTTTCAGTACACATTTGTTAATTGGCCATTCATTTTATTTTTTTTAGTATAGTACTCACCAATTATTCTTTAAGACAGATAATCGTGCAAAAATCACCCGCAACATATTATTAGTATGTTGTTACCATGTTTTCAAAGATAAATATCCTTAATTTGGATCGGATATTATCAGCTGCTACCGTCATACAACAAAACAAAAGAGGATCCATAACAAAATATTGAATTATTTTATGCATATGATCGATCACAGTATTGAAAATAATATTTTAACGTCATTATCATAGTTAAAATTTCTCTGATTAGTTTATTTGACTAGAATTGATCGAATAAAATTCCTGATTGGTATTGTAAAGTCATTTATAGCTCTTTTTTCCTTTGGAAATATTATGTCTATACAGTGCAGATCATCTATAATCAATTAATTGCTTATAGCAACAATTGGTCAGCTTCAAAATACTAAAACAAATAATTTTTATATCATTTTAAAAAATTTAACCAATAAGATTTATTGTTCATGGCCCAAGCTTCAAAACTTATCGGCTAAATTTTCCTTAAACTAAAAATTGGCAGAGCCTCGGCATTTTGAAATTTTAAATTTTGTTATAAGGATCTGCAAAATAAAAAAGTGGGGCGATTTCGTTAATAAATATTTTAGTTCACTATTTTCAAAAATTAAAAAATGATAAAAAATAAAAAAAAATGGAAAATTTTTTTTTACAAACTTATGTACCAACCTCAATATTTACAAATATAAAAAAATTTTATATGGGTAACAATTCGAAATTGCTAATTTACATATTAATATGGTCAATACGATATTTTAAGTCATGTGAGGGGGACGCTAGATCTCTACTGAATTGATAATATAAAAATGATTACTAAATTTGGATTTAATCTTAATAATATATAACAAAATTTTGGCCAAATTACCATTTTAGGAGAATTTTATTTTAATTGTTATCAGTGTTGAAAATTCGGTGCGGGGAATGCGGGGGTGTAACATTACACACCAATCAACCTTTTAATTTTTGGAGATAGTTTCTAAATTTGTACTGGTTACACGACGAAATTTCAACACTGATTGTTATATATTAATATAGAAAAAAATACTCGGGGAGCTGTCACATGATATACACTTAAGTAATTCAAAATTGCATTTCTGAGCATAACTCTCAAATTTAAAAAATTCCATGAAAAAAAATTTTTTGAATTGACTCCCTCTTTAAAGCTAAATCGAATGGTGGTAATTAAAATCCAACATGTGGATCACATAATATTTCAATTTTTTTATACATGATCCTCACTGTAATTTCATCGCGCGGCCAGGACAAAGGTTGCCTGCCGAAACCTGTTTAGCCTGATGCCAAAAGTAAAACTTCATACATAGTGCCAAAACGCCAAAACTGACGAAAATCACGAAACTGTTAAAATTACCAAAATGCTAAAACTATAGTTTCAGCTAGAGATTCTATTCGAATAAAATGAATAAAACGAGTAATTCAAATAAGGATTTGCATTACGAATATAAACTCTATATTCAATAACCAATTAAAATAGTCGATTATTTAGTCCCTATTTTTTTGAATATTGATATTAGTTAATCAAAAATTTAGTCGAATATAGTAGTTAGCTAACTAAAATAGTTGATTTCCAACCTTTAGGTTAAACCGTGGCGAAACTACATTAAAATCTTACTAGTAGTTATACCAAATTCAGCTATAGGCATTTTCAGCGATTTGCCAATATTATTTCAGAGCTTCGCATACACCAGTCTACTGAAAACTCCCTATTTTCAGCAAGCAACTTTATCCAGGGCCAGTATATGAAATTGAATGTCCGAGTTTGTGTTGCATAAGAAATGCGCACATTTGGTTGATGACCAATAAACGATTTATTATAATTATTTGATATATAAATTAATATCTGTACTTTGTTGCTTGAAAATTTTCTGCGCAAAGTCTTGACTTTTGGAAAAAGAGTTGCTGGACATTTTTCTTTTTTTTTTTTATAAAATTTTTAAATTTTATTATAAATGAAAAAAATTAGGATCCAAGAGAAATTTCCAATAAACTATTGGCTATCTTTAATGTAACGCAAATACGGACATTCAATTTCATACACTGACTAGGGTCCTGAACAATCTTGGAAGATTATATATTAATATATATATACATTTGAAAAAGTAATCCATTTTATTACTATTTTTGAAAATAATTTACAGGGTCTTTATCCAAACACTAACCAAGAAATGATAATTGAAATGTTCCTAATTTAGGGTCCCTGCGTAGCCTATGAAAAAAAAAGTTCAATTTAATTGAATTATCTAAATAAATAAATTTTAATTATAAAATCACGTGAAGAACAATTTTGAAAACTTGGTAGCATGATGCAGCAATAGGAGGTGTCTACAGGACCTGGATTATCATAATTTAGGTAACATTCTGGCTATTAGAAAACTACACCCAAATTTTTAAGCATGTGACATTTTCTCTCCTTTACCCATTCCATCTTAGCATATACCATGCCAAAAAATTAAAAACTTTATCAATATAAAACATGTAACTTCATATGTAACCATCGAAAAAATAATATTTAGATTTTTAATATATTATTATCCAATGAATTAAAAAACATATAGTTGTTGATGTTCACTTATTCTTAATAAGCCCATATCTGAATGCTAGTATTAAATAATAAGCAGGGTCTTTAGAAAATTTATCTGAAAAGGGAAGATCAAAACTTTCTATATCAATTACAATTTAACTATTTATTTATTAAAAGTCTTTATCCAAATTTTCATATAACTTCAGATGTTACCTCAAATTATGATGACTCGGGGCCCTATGTCTGTAATAGACCTAGTGATTTTATTCCTTTAACTTTTTATGTCACGTTTATTGTACTAAGAATATTCAAATACGTGTAAATTTAAATAGGGTTTGATTGAAAAAAAAATCATATTGTTCGTGCGGAGATAGTGATTGTTGTCCACGAGGCAAAAGAAAGTTTACGTGGTACAAGGCTAAAAAAAATAATCAAGCTTAAAAGGTTAGAATAATGGAGACAAAAGTCCGTCCGATCAATATCTAATTAATAAACATTTTGATAAATTCGGAAGTTCTATTTATTGATGTGCATTTAATAAACGCTTATATCCATTCATAATTAGTTAAATAAACATTTAATGCTTTATAATCAATTAATTATTAAATGCTTATTAGGCTTAATAGCTTAAAAAGTATATTACGTGTATTCTAAAAATAGTAAATACAAAAATTTGGAATGTGTATATTATCGATTAGATTAAATTTGTTATTGATGCAATTGAATTTGTTTTAGATTGATAATAGATAATTTTGATTGGATTTAATTGTAATCGATCAACATTTAAAAATTGATTAAAGCTAGATAGGAAATATTGAGCGCTTATCTGAAAAAAAATAGAGAGATAGCCATTGACTAGCCCCACAATCCCATTGTCGAGATAATTTAAAAAAGCTTACTGGTTTCAAGGTTATTTGCTTTAAAAAAATTGTTTTTATATGTCACATATAAAAATTTCCAATTTGAAACATTTAATTTGTGATACAGTGAATCTCGATTAGCGGATACTAATCAAAAATCTCGGTTTTACGGATAAAGAACGATTCCATAATAAAACTTAATAAAAAGCTTCTCGATATAGCGGATAACTCGATTTAATGGATTTTTGGGAAATTCTCAAAGCTAACAATTCAGGAACTAATAATTTTTTTAAAATTATCTCGACTAACTAGTCAATGGCTATCAAATATCGTCTCTATTCTTTTTTCAGACAAGCATTCAATATTTCCCTAATTAGCTTTAAAGTTATTTGATGTGTTTGGATGACCCACATCATAGTCAATTTACTTTTTCAGTGTACTTTCTTCTGTTCATCCATAATTTCGTAAATTTGTTTGTCATAAATGTATTGTTTCTCTTGAAAATAATGGATTTAAGTTAAGATCATATTTACCCGATTTATTATTATTTTATTTTATTCGTAAAATTTCGATTATTATTTTTTTTATTATTAATACATCAATTGGTTAATTTCTTTATTGTTGACCAAAGTTATATACAGTGCTTTAAGAAAAAAATTGGCCTGTAAATAATTTTCTAAAAAAACTACCCAAAACCCAAAGCCACATTACGAAAATCATATTAGATGGTCGAGAAATTTTAAATTATTGCATATAAAAATTTCGAAGCATATTATTATGTAGATTTTAGGGTGATTAAAACACTTTACATTAAAATTTTTCTTTTCAAAAATAATCAAATTCCTTTAATTTTTAACTGCTAAAGTTCAGAAAATATGGATACATATAATTTTATTCCATAATCCTCGGAACTTAAACTACAAATTGACACATTTTTTTGTATAGTTATTATGTATGTTTTTGTGTTAGAGCAATTGTTAAAAAAATTACATGTTAAAATTTCAGAGACAAAAAAAAATTTAAAAAAGAAGATATGGTGTGGCCTTACAAAAAATTGGCAATATTATTTTGTATTAAGTTTTTTATTCAATAAAGTAATTGTTTGCTTTTAAACAAATTAATTTTATTTAATTATCTCGATTTTTTATCAGGCCAATTTTTTTTTTTTTAACACACTGTATATAATAATTACTATATCACATCCCAGACAATTATGCTGTATGGTAATACAATCAATAAAAACAATCAGGTTTGCCAAATTTGCTTACTCACAAAGCATGGCCAGCATCGAGACAGGGCCGAAGGATACAAAAAACGAATGATGAAAAACTGGAAAAATTCGAAAATTCTGAGAAGGCAGAAAAATTGAATGAGTTGGGGAGGAAGTTGAAGAAAATAGAGTACGAAAACGAAAAGAGAAATTTGAAGGAATCTAAGAAAAGAGAGATAAGCAGAAAGAAGGTGTTCGGAAATGGAGAAATACATAGGAGAATTGCCAAGAAAACAGAAGGCAAGGCGTAAGATACATTGTTTGCAACGTTGATTGGCTAGTTCATGTTTTCTTCGATTCGCTACCGCTATTTGTTACCAGACATTTTTTTAATGAGACGCCCTATTACTATAACAAATAACATATGGAATTTTCGTATGCTAAATACATACCAAGAAGAATAAATAAGCATGGTGGACATTCTTATAATTGGTAATGATTTTCGTCGATCAGATTACACAAAAAAGAAAATTTGATTGGCCGAATAGATTACACAAAAATTTAGAGGAGAGGCTTCGTAACGTATAAGTTTTATCAAGTAAGATATTGGAAGCAAATAATGCAAAACCATTAATTTAACAATAATCAAGAACAAACTACCTTGTTCCTATTATTTATGAAATAAATATATATTATACAAATTTTACAAATTTATTAATTTAACAAGAATTATAAAACTACTTCATTTCTATTATCTATGAAATAGTTATAAATATATTATACAAATTTATAGATTTAACAATAATTATTGAAACAACTTACCTTGTTTCTTTTGCTTGCATTCTAAGGAAACAAAACCATTAATTTATGGAACAAACACCCTGTTTCTATTATCCACACCTAATAACAAGAAAAAATAAATATATTTTACAAAACCATATAATTATAAAATGACTATCTTGTTTCTATATCCATGTCTATAACAAATAAATAAATAAAAAATATATTATACAAAACTATTAATTTAACAATAATTATAGAACAACCACCTTCTACTATTCATCATTTATTCATATAATAATAAGAAATAGATATATAAAGTAAATATATTATACCAAACTATTAATTTAAACAATAATTATAGAATGAATACCTTGTTGTATCCCCCTTCAGTTTTTCCTTTAGTAGCTTCATTTATTGTTTAAAAGTTTTAGTTTCTTTACTTGTTTTTCTATACTTCGGAGCCTACTCTAATTTCGTTGCAAATTACACATCTGCTGCATAATAACATATTGGAAATGTTAGTACTAAGTAAAGTATGTCAAAATCATGGATGCCGATGGATGCAGCTGGAATTAAGTTTAAAAAACATTAAAGAATTTCTCTGTAAGGTTACAGTATGTGTCACGTGTCAATGTGTTGCCACTTTAATTGAGCACATAGTTTTTTTTACTTTAAAATTACATTACGCGACATAAAAAATTGGTGCAACATTTTGAATGTCCACCATGCTCATTATATATAGAAAAATGTAATAGTGCACAAATTTTTCATTGAATTTGTGCATATGCCACCGGAATGTGAATTGGACCTTAATTCACTGATCAATAACTCCGAAAATCTGGAGTAATAATTTATACATTGTTTTTATATTATTTATATCATTTATTTTATTTATTTGTTATTTTTAGTATTCATTGTTTATTTTTAGTTATTTATTTTATCTGTTATTTATTTTTGATTTTATTTTATTCTATTTTTATTTTGTAATAATTTCCGAATGATTTAAATTAATTATATGAGTTCGTGTTACATTCCGCAGAAGTACAGTTCGGATCATCTATACTCAAAAGTTAAAATTTTTGAAATATTATGTGATCCACACATTGGATTTTAAAAAACTTACCACCATTCAATT